AAAAAAAAAGAAAGAAAGAAAGAAACTGACTTATTTGGTGGTGGACACTAATTTCTGAAATTGTCAGTGACACAATTTCTGACTCTTATTTTGATTACTTGGTCTATTCAGAAGTAGTTAAACATATCTTGCAATTCATTATTTTTTCTCTGTATATGTCCACATTAAAAAGTTCTTCAAAAGTCACTGCAAAACCAAAACAAACCCCACCTCCCCCCCMAAAAAACCTTTAGATTTTAGCTTTCTTGGAATTTCTGCTTAAAAAATACTTCCTTTTCATTCAAGCATAAAATTCTAGGATCCGATTCATAGTTTTTATATTACTATTTAAAACTTTACTGCAATTCTACTTGTCAAGGAAGTCATTGCTTACACTCTGTTCTTTGTACAAGGGTGTGGAGCAGCTTGTAATTAAAGCACATATAATGAAATAATAAAATACAAATAGAAAATGAGGATTAAGAGATAGGAGACAACAATATTATTGGCCACAACAAATAAACACAGTTATTCATTTTGGCATTTACTTCTGTACCAATAAAATCTAAGAATTATGGCCAGATATAAATGATTGGAAAGGACAAAGAGTACTAGTAGGAAACCAAGCATCTCTTAGCACAAAAATTCTAAAAGAAATGTATCCAGTAACTTCTACAGCAAGTGCAATGAAATATTAATAATAAAAGAACCATTGGCATGGTGTAGAAGACAGAAATGCTAGGATTTTTTTTTTTAAAGAGCATGTAGATCTAAGTTGGCTGGCAGTTAAATTTCCTTTTTTCTAGTGCATTTTTCTGTCATGACCTGTGAAAAATTAATTTTTTTTTGAGAAGGGGTTTCACTAAATTATCCAAGGCAGCTATCTTATCTCAAACTTATGGCTGGGATTTTCTTTAAAAAATTAAAATCCCACCCCTGGGTACTGGGGATGGAACCCAGGGGCACTCTTACCACTGAGCTATATCCCCAACATTTTTTACTTTTATTTTGAGACAGGGTTTTACTGAGTTGCTCAGGTTGTCCTCAAATTTGTGGTCCTCCTACCTCAGCCCTCAAGTAGCTGGGATTTTAGGGATGCCCCATTATGGGGGCTTCCAACCAATCTTTTTCCTTTTTGTTAAAAACAAATAAATAGGAGAGGGAAGGAGGAGGTACTGGGGACTGAAATGAAGCAAATTATATTCCATGCACGTGTGTCAAAATGAACACCACTATTATATATAGCTACAATGCATAATAAAAACATAAAAACTAATAAATACTACAGAAATTGTGAAGACAGATGATCCTGTCCCCCAGAGGTGATTATTTTAATTTTAGCTATTCCCTCCTAACTTTATAATCTGAAAAGTTAACTCCAAAGAGTGCATTTTTCATAGGAGGCAGAAGCTCTCGACTTTAGTTTCATATTCAAATCAGTATTTTTCACAATACTGATACCCAGGCACGATCCCCACAGATTCTGATTAATTTGTCCAGGGTGGCACCCTCGAAGTTCCTCAGGTGACTCCAGTGCACAGCCAGCATTAGACSCACTGACCCGGAACAGGGATGAGTCCACAAAACGTTTTCCATAACACAGGCCTTTGCATTCCCTAGGCCTCGACATTCCATCTTTTCCTTCTGGAGAATGGTTTCTGGTTCCTACCTGGGCTTTCCTCTGGAAAGTCCTCAATTCAATGGATTCAGGATTCTGGGAGAGGCCAGAAAAGGCTCTGGGGAGATTGTGAACCGAATCCACTTGGGTGCAGTCCACGTAGAGCTCYACAGAGCCAGCCCCTCGCTGCAAATTGGTCAGCCTCAGGAGYAGCCTGTGCCGCCTCCCGTCGGCCAGCTGCAGGTTATTGAAAACCACCAAATGGATCTTCCCATCATTCTTCAGGTAACGGAGGATGGCTGGAACCAAGCACAGGTCAGTGAATGGTGTGATAAGGGGAAGGGGGCCAGTTCTGTGCTGAGCAGCCTCCTGGTCACAAGGCTAGGTCACTGGAAAGAGGACAAACAAGTTGATGAATACTGATTCTCCATCTTTTGGGTGCCAGGTGCTGTCACAGACACTGCAAGGCAGGAGCACTAGAAGCCCACTCTCCTCCTGAGAGTATTTTATGCTGCTAGGGAGAAAAACAATACTAGCAAATCTGAAAATAATACAACTATGGATAGTGGCAAATACAGTAAGAGAGTAGAACCCTACCAGATAGAAAACTAAAATCCAACTAAGCTCCTTGGGCATGAATGCATCAATTCACCAAACATTTACTGAGCACTACCATTGGTGAGACTGGGTGCTATCCTTGGTTGCTTTAAATATTTACTATCTCCTCATTGCTTTAAATATTTAATTTCTCCTCATGAAATTGGAATAACTACAGATGAGGAAAGTGAAGCTGAGATAAGTGAAATAACTTGCTTAAGGACATCCTGAGTGGCAGGACTAGAATTTGAACCTGAGTATGGTTTATTCCATGACTAATGCCCTATTAAGCATGGATAGGCCTTTGTAAGCATATGTCAAATGGAAGGCTCCTCAGCAGCCCATCCCTAAACTTAACAATGCTTTAGGAAAACAAAAGGTATCAGTGACTGCAAAAGAAGGAAAAGGAGGGAAATCTACTACTTTACTTTCTGTTCTTTTTTCCTCCCTTCTCCCTATACAGGTAGCTACCTATCTTCTTAAGTTCACTAAATAAAAATTGAATTTTAAATTCTGGTTTTCTTTCTTGTTTTTAAAATTAATTAATTAATTAATTAATTTGTTTTAATTTGTTACACATGACAGCAGAATGCATTTCAATTCATAGTATTCAAATGGAGCACAATTTTTCATTTCACTGGTTGTACACAAAGTAGAGTCACACCATCACAAAGGAGAGTCACACCATCACACCATTCATGTCTCTTCATACATGTACCTAGGATAATGATGTTCATCTCATTTCACCATATTTCCTACCCCATGCCCTCTCCCCTCCTCTCCCTCCCTGTTTACCCTGTCCATAGTTCCTCCATTMCTTCCATGCTCCCTCCACCCCCATTATGGATCAGCATCCACTTATCAGATAACATTTGGCCTTTGGTTTTTCTGGGATTGGCTTATTTCACTTAGCATGATATTTTCCAATTCCATCCATTTACCTGAAAATGCCATGATTCTATTCTCTTTTAATGCTAAGAAAAATTCCAATGTTCAACATCTCTAGCAATTAAAGAGATGCAAATCAAAACTACTCTAAGATTTCATCTCACTCAAGTTAGAATGGCAGTTATTAAGAATACAAGCAACAAAAAGTCAACAAATAAATGACCTTACATTACATCTCAAAGCTCTAGAAAAAGAACAACAAATCAACACCAAAAGCAGTAGAAGAAAGGAAATAATTAAAATCAGAGCTGAAATCAATGAAATTGAAAGAAAAGAAACAATTGAAAAAAATCAACAAAACAAAAAGTTGGTTCTTTGAAAAAATAAATAAAGTTGACAGACCCTTAGCCATACTAATGAAGAATATAAGCAACAATAAGTGTTGGCGAGGATGTGGGGGAAAAGGCACACTCATACATTGCTGGTGGGACTGTAAATTGTTGAAACAACTCTGGAAAGCAGTATGAAGATTCCTTGGAAAACTGGGAATGGAACTGCCATTTGATCCAGCTATCCCACTCTTCAGTCTGTACCCAAAGGACTTAAAAACAGCATGCTACAGGGACACAGCCACACCAATGTTTACAGCAGCACAATTCACAGTAGCTAAATTGCAGAACCAACCTAGATGCCTTTCAATAGATGAATGATAAAGAAACTGTGGTATATATACACAGGGAATATTACTCATCCTTGTTTTGTACTCCATGATTGTCCTGAACATATTGGGCCCTGACCTAAAGTCTGGTTCTAGAAGCTGATCCTTTGCAAAGGGAACCTATTGGCTGAGGCTTTCGAGAAAGAAGATTAAAGTTATTTGCTTCCAAGGTCTTAGTGAGACTAGCAAAACACCTCCAGGTCCATCCACAGGTACTACTCTTAAACCCAAATTCATTGCTAGACACAATCCAAGATGTTGCAGATGTTGGCTAGCTAATRTGGTAAACACATCATTGTGGTTCTAAAGGTCTGAGCTAAAGCTTTCAGTTGCCCCCAAATGGAAAAGCCTGAAATTGGTAGAACTGATCTGGAGGGCAATTTGATGGTGTGTATCAGAACCTTAACTATCCAGATCCTTGGCCCAGCAAGGACACTTCTAGGGATTAAAACTTAAAAATATTTACTATCTCCTCATTGCTTTAAATATTTAATTTCTCCTCATGAAATTGGAATAACTACAGATGAGGAAAGTGAAGCTGAGATTAAAAAAAATAGAGAAATAAAGAGAAAGAAGCACCGGTTGTATTATGAACATTCATTTCAGAAATATTTGAATCAACATACATCTAAAAAGGGAGGATTGGCTACTTATTATTATGGTGTAATAATAATGAAATGGAATATTATGTGACAGTTACATATTAAAAGCACAAAAAGATATCTCCAGGGTTTAGCTAAATTAAAAAGACTGTAAGTCATTATAATTTCCTTCAGAAAAATCTATATGCACTATATATTTATATATTTAAAAAAATAAAAAAGAAATGTATTACATACATATGCCCGTATGATGTTGCTGTCAATCTGTAGGATTTGTGACAATTAACTCAGACCATCTTTTCTCAAYTACCTTTTTGGTAGAGTATAAATGCCAGCTTGGTGCTGCCACGTGGACTAGGCAGCCAAGAAGACCTGATTATGTTGCAATAATGCCAAAGAAAAGAATCACTAAGACTTTCTGCACATTTGACTTTCTAGGTTCATTTTCCTACTCCTTCATTTGATTTTTTCCATTTGACCAAAGTCTGAAGATTGTCAGCTGACATCAGGTCCTGTGACAGAGAGAGATGGCGGCAGGAGGAGACAGGAAATCTGCTCTTACATCTACCTAGTCTCTGTCACATGCTTCCTGAGAGCAAAGAAGTGGAAAGACCTGGCAGAACAGACTAGCTACAAGGATTGTCTATGATTATGCTATAATAGCAAGTTTCCTGAAGTGTCAGTAAGACTTAAAGAAACAGGGTCTGAAAAGAAAGAAAACAATGGATGGGGGAAATTGGCACRAGAAGAAATCATTAAGGTATTTCTAATCTGGGCTATAGCAGAATTTTTACTCTTTTGTTTGATATTAATTGCTAAGAATTTATAATAGTAGCTGCCTGACTGGAAATTGGAGACATCCATAATAACCAAAAAGAGGGAGAAGTTGAGTCCAAACATAACCACTAATTCAGATTTTTTTTTTAAACCTCAATTACTTTACTATTTAAAAATTTTGCAAATGCCTGGAGTTTTTCTAGATCAATAAAAATACCACTTGGACCACCAAACTTGAAACAGGTCAGCACATATTTATTCAATGTTTCCTCTTTCTAGTTATGGCAAATACTTCTGTTCCCTATATTCACAGTTTAAGATGATATACATAGGGACTTAAAAAATATTCTTGATTTTCCTCCCCAAACTGAGATTTCTGTGAAATCTCAAAAGGAAGCACATTTTTCTTTCACTTGCTGCCTACTGTTAACAGGGCCTTCGCAGGGCACGTGGGCCATGGTTTATTTTCATAACCGAATAGCAGAGTTAAATTTTATAAATAGCACTAGTGCAGTACTTCATATATAGCAGGTGCACATTAAGTATTGTGAATATGAACTTTCAACGAATAATTAAATGTGTTTAAAGCCTTTCATGTAGAAAATAAAAAGGGTTTAATTTCAACAATTCAACATTTGTTCCAGGTAGCAAAACCTACTATTGTGTTTGCATTCTCATTTAAGGGAATTCTGAGCTTCTGCCTTGCTTTTTGTTGCAACGCAACACTCAAAAGACAAACTCCTTGGGCTCCTAGATCTTGTGACAACAACAAGAGGTGGGGAATAAAGGAAAGAAGACTCATGGAAACTTCCATCTTCAGTTAGCAGACAAATTATCAAGTGCTTTGACATTTACCATTCTTCACACTTGATCCAATAATTCTCGTTTCTCTTATGGCTTCCATTTTTCATTTTTCTGTTTTATTGCAAATTCCTTACTTCAGTGCCTCTACTTATTTTATCCTCAGAACAGTAAGACTACCCCAGAGGGCAGACAGACGCCTGCTTACTTAACGTGTTCACATCAGTCATACTGAATCTGGAAATAGCAAGAGCTCTGGCTGTGGAACCAGTGGCCTGCTGGATGGGAGTTTCCCTGACCTTCTGGGAGGCAGCCCACGGGACAGGGAGAGAAGGTACATGTTCCCTTCTTCTCCACAGCCCCTCTTCCCAGGGTTCAYCTCACCCCATGTTAGCCCAACACACACAGAACAAAGAGAACAAAATAGAAGAAAATACCACAGAGGAAGAACACCATCATTGCACCCCCCAGCAAAGGATGAGACGCCAATCCCCCAACACCGGAACCCACCACACCTCCTGACTCCACCACACCTCTGCCATGTCACCACCCCGGGCTGCGCTGTGGTCAGGAAAACCACCCTTGGATACAATTCTGTTTCTTTAGCTACAACACATTCAGTTTGCAAGCTCAACTTTCACTCACAACCAGCTGAACAAATCTGCTTGGTGATTCCAGCCTGCCTATCCTGCAGGTCCACTACCAAGAGCGCAGCCACACTGGACTGGARAGGAAGGCTGTGGGCCAGTAGGAGCTCCGGTTGCAATGGTGTCTCTGCCTCTACTCTGCTCCATCTCCRGGTTTCTCTGTTAGATTCCTGCCCCACCCACTGTGGGTCTCTTCTGCACAGATTTTTGGTGCAGACAGATTGAACTTCTCCTAGGACCYTCCTGATTAAGCTATTGCCTTCTCAAGC